GAATCGGCAGCCAATGAAGGGCCGTCGCAAGTTGATGACACCATTTGTTGAGGTTGTCGTCAGAGTATGAGACAGTGTTTATTGTAGTCTTTATTGTGGCGAAATATTAAAGGCAAGAATTAGCTTGAACTTAATCAGTAGGTATAGAATAACTTGTTGTTTTAAGGAACATAAGACATTTTTATGGAAATTTAACGTGACAAGTCATAACTTGCTGTTATGAGTAAGGTTTCAACAGCGCAATATCTTGTTAGCTTATTTTAGATTAGCCTCACAGCTAATGAGCATTGCTCAACATAGCTTTGAAAGGGATGTGTTACATTAAGGGAAAAACCTGCACCAGTAACCCCTAGTAGCCCATAAGACTGGGACTGTCTCCGAAGCGTTCACAACATGCTGAACATTCCAACCCAGTCCTTCCCTGCACCGAGCTCCCAGCAGCGGGTCGCTCCGTCCGGACAGTCCGGAAGGAACAAGGTAACGTTAGTACTAATCAACTAATAAACTAGTCTTAATATCTCTTAACATAACATGTTAATTCATTATAAAACTGAACAAAGTTCGGGTTAGTTGGAATTAATTCATGGGTCTTTGACAGATGATGTAAACCTCGCGTTAAACTAAATGTATTTTGGGTTACAGTCAGCACACACTACATTACATACAGTGCCTTGCGAAAGTATTCGGCCCCCTTGAACTTTGCAACCTTTTGCCACATTTCAGGCTTCAAACATAAAGATATAAAACTGTAATTTTTTGTGAAGAATCAACAACAAGTGGGACACAATCATGAAGTGGAACGAAATTTATTGGATATTTCAAACGTTTTTAACAAATAAAAAACTGAAAAATTGGCCGTGCAAAATTATTCAGCCCCTAGAATCCACCTGTGTGTAATCAAGTCTCCGTATAAATGCACCTGCACTGTGATAGTCTCAGAGGTCTGTTTAAAGCGCAGAGAGCATCATGAAGAACAAGGAACACACCAGGCAGGTCCGAGATACTGTTGTGGAGAAGTTTAAAGCCGGATTTGGATACAAAAAGATTTCCCAAGCTTTAAACATCTCAAGGAGCACTGTGCAAGTGATAATATTGAAATGGAAGGAGTATCAGACCACTGCAAATCTACCAAGACCTGGCCGTCCCTCTAAACTTTCAGCTCATACAAGGAGAAGACTGATCAGAGATGCAGCCAAGAGGCCCATGATCACTCTGGATGAACTGCAGAGATCTACAGCTGAGGTGGGAGACTCTGTCCATAGGACAACAATCAGTCGTATACTGCACAAATCTGGCCTTTATGGAAGAGTGGCAAGAAGAAAGCCATTTCTTAAAGATATCCATAAAAAGTGTCGTTTAAAGTTTGCCACAAGCCACCTGGGAGACACACCAAACATGTGGAAGAAGGTGCTCTGGTCAGATGAAACCAAAATCGAACTTTTTGGCAACAATGCAAAACGTTATGTTTGGCGTAAAAGCAACACAGCTCATCACCCTGAACACACCATCCCCATTGTCAAACATGGTGGTGGCAGCATCCTGGTTTGGGCCTGCTTTTCTTCAGCAGGGACAGGGAAGATGGTTAAAATTGATGGGAAGATGGATGGAGCCAAATACAGGACCATTCTGGAAGGAAACCTGATGGAGTCTGCAAAAGACCTGAGACTGGGATGGAGATTTGTCTTCCAACAAGACAATGATCCAAAACATAAAGCAAAATCTACAATGGAATGGTTCACAAATAAACATATCCAGGTGTTAGAATGGCCAAGTCAAAGTCCAGACCTGAATCCACTCGAGAATCTGTGGAAAGAACTGAAAACTGCTGTTCACAAATGCTCTCCATCCAACCTCACTGAGCTCGAGCTGTTTTGCAAGGAGGCATGGGCAAAAATTTCAGTCTCTCGATGTGCAAAACTGATAGAGACATACCCCAAGTGACTTACAGCTGTAATCGCAGCAAAAGGTGGCGCTACCAAGTATTAACTTAAGGGGGCTGAATAATTTTGCACGGCCAATTTTTCAGTTTTTTATTTGTTAAAAAAGTTTGAAATATCCAATAAATTTCGTTCCACTTCATGATTGTGTCCCACTTGTTGTTGATTCTTCACAAAAAATTACAGTTTTATATCTTTATGTTTGAAGCCTGAAATGTGGCAAAAGGTTGCAAAGTTCAAGGGGGCCGAATACTTTCACAAGGCACTGTATAGTTCTCATATACTGCAGGCAATCTGTGATGGTTCTGCTGAACAATATGGACTGATTTAATTCGTGAAGTATTAATGAAGTGACAACAGCTTTTGGTGAGCAGGATGTGAAGATTCTTACAATGACATCTGTACAGACTTGAATCAGAATCTGCTTTATTGGCCAGGTGTGTTGGATACACGAGGAATTTGACTCTGGTACATTGGCTCTCAATGTGCAAACAGTAAACTAGCATAAGGCTGTATAATATAACAAAAATAAGCTGTATTTACAAGCAACAGAAAGCGCAAACAATGCAGAATAAGCAGTATGAACAGACAGTAACAAAGCAGACAACAAAGAAATGTTCATTGAAATGAGATAATTAGGGATAAAAATAGAGTACTTAAAACAGAGTACTAGAGACCTGTACAAGTCTGTATAATCTGTACAATGTATATATACACAGGTATTGCACTGAGGTTTATTGTTCAATCATATGGTCATTGGTTAATTGTTCATCAGAGTGACAGCCAGGGGGAAGAAACTGTCCCTGTGCCTGGTTGTCTTGGTGCACAGTGACCTGTAGTGCCATCCAGAGGGGAGGAGTTCAAACAGATTGTGTCCAGGGTGTGAGGGGTCAGCAGTGATCCTCTCCACCCTCCTTTTGACCCGTGCAGTGTACAGGTCCTCCATGGAGGGCAGGCTCGCACCAATGATCTTTTCTGCAGTCCTGACTGTCCACTGGAGTCTGTACTTGTCCTGTTTGGTTGCTGAGCCAAACCAGACAGTGATGGAGGTGCAGAGAACAGAGTCAATGATTCCTCTGTAGAACTGTATCAGCAGCTCCTGGGGCAGGTCGAACTTCCTGAGTGGTCTATAGTGATCCTCTCCGCTCTCCTTTTGACCCGTGTGGTGTACAGATCCTCCATGGAGGGCAGGCTTGCACCAATGACCTTTTCTGCAGTCTTCACTGTCCGCTGAAGTCTGTACTTGTCCTGTTTGGTTGCTGAGCCAAACCAAACAGTGATGGAGGTGCAGAGAACAGACTCAATAAATCCTCTGTAGAAGAAGGGGGATAAGATGGGAGGGCTCTTCCTGAAGTCCACTGTCATCTCCACTGTTTTGAGCGTGTTCAGCTCCAGGTTGTTGCGGCTACACCACAGGACCAGCTGCTCAACCTCTCGTCTGTAGGCTGACTCATCACTGTCTTGGATGAGACCAATGACCGTTGTATCATCAGCAAACTTTAGGAGCTTGACAGAGGGATCCTTCATGATGCAGTAGTTGGCGTAGAGTGAAAACAGCAGAGGGGAGAGCACACATCCCTGGGGGGCGCCTGTGCTTATTGTCCAAGTGCTGGATGTGGTTTTCCCCAGCCTCACCGCTGCTCCCTGTCTGTCAGAAAGCTCGTAATCCATTGACAGGTGGGGGCAGGCACAGTGAGCTGGGTCATTTTGGAGTGGAGGATGTCCGGGATGATGGTGTTGAATGCTGAGCTGAAGTCCACAAAGAGGGCCCGTGCATAGGTCCCTCGTGAGTCTAGGTGTTGCAGGATGTAATGCAGTGTCATGTTCACTGCATCATCCACTGACGTGTTTGCCCGGTAGGCAAACTGCAGGGGGTCTACGATGTCAGGTGGGCCGGCACCAGTCTTTCAAAGCAATTCATAACTACGGATGTCATTGTGACAGGTCGTGCAGTCCACTGATGGAGGTTTTCTTGGGGACTGGAATGATGGTGGAGTGTTTGAAGCAGGAGGGGACTTCACACAGCTCCAGTGACATATTGAAGATGAATGTGAAGATGGGGGCCAGCTGATCAGAACACACTTTCAAGCAGGAGGGAGTCACACCATCTAGGCCTGGTGCCTTTCTGATCTTTTGTCTTTTAAAGAGGCCATGCACATCCTTTTCACAGATCGTTAGAAGTGGGGGGCTGGTTATCAGTTCTGCTAGGAGCCGTAGTGCACTAGCGTTAGCCTGCAGTGTTATGTACATGCCCATTAGCATGAAGCTGTTGAATTCATGGGGAGAGTAAAAGAGTTTGCAGTTGATAACTAGAGAAATGCATTTCCTGTCAAAAATGTGTGTGGATGCTGTGTACTGAAGGATTGCCCTGAAAATGCTGAACATTTTGACACGTGAAAGGCATATTTACCTGAAAGTATGTTGAAGTACAATTTTCCCATTAATTTGAATGGGGGAAAATTTTCAAAATAAAGCTAAATATTTTTAAAGGATGGAAGTTTAGAAAAATTCTGAATAGAAGCATGGATGTCCTGGAGGAGCTCAACATTTTGGTAGCTGAAAGTATGCTGAAGTAGAATTTCCCCTATTCATTTGTATGGGGCAAGATTTTCAAAATAAAGCTAAATATTTCAAAAGTATGAAGTTTAGAAAACTTCTGAATAGAAGCATGAATGTCCTTGAGGAGCTGAATATTTTGATACCTGAAATTATGCTGAAGTAGAATTTCCTCCATTCATTTCAATGGGGCATGATTTTCAAAATAAAGCTATATATTTCAAAGGTATAAGGTTTAGAAAAATCCTTAAGACAAGCATGAATGTCATTCAAGAGCTGAAAATTTTGATACCTGAAATTATGCTGAAAGTATGCTGAAGTAGAATTTTTCCATTCATTTGAATGGGGCAAAACTTTCAAAATAAAGTTAAATATTTCAAAAGTATGAAGTTTAGAAAACTTCTGAATAGAAGCATGAATGTCC